TTGCACTGCGGGCGGTCCGTTCCTTCGCGCGCGCGAGATCCTTTCTTTCAATTACTCATCATGCGGCCAACTTTCGGAGATAATTAAGGATCCTCCGTTGTCCGAGTCTCTCGATGAAGCGCGTAAGAAAAAGAGACGGAGACGGAACGCTCGTTGGCGGGAGGGTAAAAAAAGAGGACCGACAATCGCCGCAAATCCATCATCCGTCGGTCGTAATTCATCATACGCCGTTCCGCAAAGCGCCGTACCGATAGCTAATGACAAAAAATCACTGTCCCATCGAAATCGATTCATCCGTCCGTCCATCGTAGCTTCCTCGCTACCGATGTCAAGTGCGCCGACAAAAAGCGCTACCGACCCGAAGAAACGCAATTAGTCGACTTGACGTGGACGCATCGAAATTACTTGGTTCCGCATTCCTTCCCGTTTAAACGGAGCGACACGGAGTTATAGAGGGAAAAGAACGGTAATACGAGAACTTGAGTAAGAGAGCAACTGCACAGTCTCTCGCAATGTTATTTTTTGGTCCCGGTTGTCACGGTAGAGAGAGCTTTTTATTAAAGAAAAAAGTATTTTAAACACGCGGCGTACACTCTTCGCGTCCAAATATTTACTGACGTTCATCTCTGTCGACTCTATCGAATTATCGATTGCAGAAAAAAAAAAGAGGAAAGACAGGCCAAAGTATGAAAACGAAGAAAGAGATGGCGATTACTTTTTGTAAGATTTTTTTTATTGATCTTGATGTAGCTATCGTGAAAGAAAAAGAGAAGAGGGAAGCGAATTTTTCGCCAGTAACGAATTCATTTCGACGTCGAGAACAGCGCGGTCTATCATCCGTTTTAAGTGCCGATCGCACATCTGTTATATCCGCGATGCTAAATTTTCGCGTTCTCAATTGCGAAAGTGGTAGCAATTAAAATGCATTACGATATACAGAGGCGGTATAGCCGCCGGTGGTGCGCGGAACGCACGCGAGGAAAAACCGGCGAGTATTTTAGAATGTTAAGTGGCTGCGCGCTCCCGCTCGCACGGCCGCAAAGTGCAATTTAACCGCCCGACGATGCGAGAAGCCCGCGCTCGCACTCTTCACTGCGAATACAGCACCTTCCCCTCCTCCTCCCACACCCGTACGTACCACCATTCGCCGTCATCCCCCCCTCCTCCCCGCCTCGCATATCTTCCCTCGCCGTGTCTAGACGCCGTAAGCCCGGCTATCTAAACCGCCGCCTCATCGAATCACCCTTTCAGCCCACCCTCCATCACATCAAGCCTCGCCACTATCGCATCAAAAGATCAACACTAATCTTTCGATCAGCAAAGCTCCTGTTCTCCTGGCGCGACTCTCGTGCGCCGCGCCGTGCGGCAGGTCGATTCTCGCGGACGGAGCGATGAATTCAATAGTTTATATACATCGCGCGCGCGCGAGGTCGCTCTCCGAAAGTTTTGCAAAATTTCCCGCGTGCCCGTGTGTTTGAAGAACCGAAAGAAATCGAAAACAAAAAAAAACGGTATTTTTCGTTCCCCTTGCGAATGCGAGGGGTGAAGTTGAAATTGTTTTCACGATCGATTATTACACGCCGCCGCGGTGTAACGGAAGCAATAGTGGCGACGATGCCAATAAGTGGAACGCGCGAAACTGTACCGCGGGCTCTCTTCTATCTCGGTAAAACAATCTCCGACGTATCGGCAATCAGCCGGGGCGATCCTTCGCCATGGAAGGATTCCGCGCGACGGTGTCGTCTCCACCTCAAAGTCAATAAAGAAGCCACTACGACGCGCCGTTATTTTCGCGAGTACTCTTTAACGTCCGTGCCAGTCTTTCGGCGATTTACGCGACGAACGCGAGAGTGCTTTTGCTTTCTTTTATTTTATTTTTTTTTTTGTATCAGCCGCGGCCGAGTACATTGCCAGCGGGCACCACGGGAAGCTCGAAACATTCTCGATCTCTCGGCGCGCAGATCAAACGGAGGAGTTCGAGAAACGTCAACTGTGCGACTCGCGTTTGACCGATGTTACACATCGCCCCGGCCATTTGTACCAGTCGATTCCTTTCCGCGCGCTTGCAGCTCTGTGAGATCTTCCGGCGACATTCGTCACCGCTTAAAAAGTACGCGCGTCTCTCCCGCGTCTCCTTTGTAACTTATACGTCCCCGCCGTCTGTTCTTCTTCCCAACTCACGGGGAAATGCTCCTAAATCGTCAGGGCTTCTGTCGTTCTCTCTCTTTGTACGTCAGTTAGTCTGAAACGGACACGAACGCAGTTTGGAAGAGTGCCACGCGCGTAGCTTATTTTATTTTTCGGAAAGTCCGAGTAGAAAATATGTAGCTGCAAAGATAATACACGTGTTATGATAGTATAATGAAATTTTTCTTCAAACATTTCTTATTTCAATTTCACCGCGAATTTGAGATGTTTACAATTTTTGACAAAAAACTAAGAATGTCCTTTTACTAAATGCTTCGATTATTGTAGCGCTAATAATTTTTCACATATGACAAAATTAATTGATATGTTAAATTAACTTGTATATAAATCATTTTTCATTAGGAATTAAAAAAGACAGGAGAAAAATATGGGCTAAACACTAAATGAATGTAATATAATGATAAATGAATATTAATTGTAACAAAGTGATATATCACGGGAGAGAGAGAAAGAGAGAGAGAGACAGAGAGCAGATGCTATAAATTTTCTCCGCGGAACGAAAGAGTAAATTGGTGAGATAAATGCGGAACGGGTGAATCACACGTAACGATTACGAGACGTGCAAGATAACGCAATTTTTAGAGAAAAAGGATTGCGCGACGTGCTTCGACTGGTAACGCATATTCCTTTAAATTCCGCTTACGTCCGGTTATCCGCGAGATTAATGTGGCAGCCTGTCTACACTTCAAAAGATCTTTAGCGAAGTTCGCCGAGATCGGATGGCGCGGTATCCCGTACGCGCCGCCGTCTTTAATTAATTCCGTCCGCAGCGCCTCGATTTAGCGTGAACCTAATTGAAATGTTATTCCACGGCAGGTGCGAAGTTACGCGCGTTTCTCGGATATAATTCGCGTTTTAGCGAGAATTTTAAGCGATATCGCATCTGCATAATTGGGTTCAAGACAGCAAAGTCTCGTTACACGTTATGTCTCGCGTAACGAGATAAAATTGTTCCTTACACACGTTGCCAATTTTCAATCGAAAACTCACGTGGTATTTTGTTCTCGCTAATTTCAACGATTGAATTCAATCTTGGATCCGAATTTCTTCCCTCTTGTCGAAATATAGACAAATTATTAGATTTAAGTTGCAGAGAGCGGATCGTAGTAAATCACGTTACTCTCGAGTTTATTTAATCGTTTAGCGTCTCGCAATTTTCATAAATCGATAAAGAACGGGAGAGGAAAGATATGAGTTTCCTTTGCAACCGTCTTCTATTAAATACACACTTGAAACTTTATTTTTAAAGACAGATGGTCTCTTAGAAAAAAAATTGTGACAAAATTGCGCTCTCGGCAAAATAAACGTACGTGATTTATAATAGCGCGGCTCTCTCTCTCTCTCTCTCTCTCTCTCTCTCTCTCTCTGTCGACGGCGAAAAGCCCGAATGGCTCGTCAGATGTCGAGGCAATTCGGGGTGATTGCATTCTTCGGAACCGCGATCACAACGGCGTTGCATCGAAATTGTTTGCCGGCTTTAATCTCGTCCCGCAGCAGTGACAAAGTATCACCCGCAAGTGCACCGTTACTCGAATCACCGGAAATGCGTTTGCCCGAGGTATTTCACGGTAATACCACTGCAGCGAGCGATCGCCTGGGCCAATGGTTAGACACTTACGTAACATTAAAGCCGCCGCTGGCTTTAATCTTGCTGCATGTCGCTCGAATGGCTTCACAGAAGACAATGTTAGGGACTTAACGGCGGAATTATTCCCGATGAGGCAAACTAATCCTCTGCATCGGGAAAGTTCGTTGTGATTCGACAATGGTTGTTATCGTGATCATAATGTATACAAGTGAACTTTACATTCGCGAGGCGTATAAAAGTTTAATCGTGCAAATTGCAGCACGTACAAGTGCAACAAGTATACGGTTATTTTTGGAATAAATTAGTTTTTGCAAAATAAAAATTTTACAAGATTGGAATAATTGACGTTACTTTTAATTTTATCTGCGGAAAAAAGATCAATTAATGACTTATAAATTGGGGAGGATAACTTTAGATTACGAGAGCTAATTTCTCTTCTGGGAAGGAATTCCTGCATCGATTCATTTATTGAGCTGTACGAAAAGCTTTCATGGCAGTCTACAGGTCAAAAGTTATTATCAACGATTGTTAAAAAAAAAAAAAGATATTTATATCGAAAAGTCGCGGCTGAATGAAATATCTCGTTAGCGTTAGGCGCATAGCTGCTGTTAGCCCTGAATTCACGACTGAAATCAAATCGAGTGCGCTAGTCTGGTTTCTTTCTTTGACTGCGTGTTCCTTTTACTCTGCAATGTGGTGCACACATTAGATATCGATATGTATATAAAGGCGATATATTCCGCTGATCTAGTTGCTGCTCTAGAGTGTCCTGTTGTTGCGGACCACCACAGTCGACGCTCCGTTTTTTGATTCCTTGACAATTAGCTCCCTCTGCGCTTCTGCGAACACCAAGTGCATCTCAAGACATGCACTGAAAGTTTATTTCAGAATTATTATTGTTCGTAATTAAGCAGTTAATCGCGAGCGTGCAGTTGAAGCCACCAAAGCCAACGACATATCAATGCTTTGCATATCGATGTAGTCACTAGAATTTTTGAAAGTTGAGAAAGTATATAACGAGGAAATATAAAATATAAAGAAATCTTTTTTATCTTATTTATATGCTGTAAGAGCTGCACTTGCCCTCCGACTGCACGCTCGTACGTCAGCGATGAATTACGTGGGCATGGAATTCAAACGTTTCAACGACGGCGAGCTTTCTACGCGCGCGAGCTTAATGCCAGCCGCTTTTTCTGTCACGTAGGTCGATCTAAGACACATGGACGAAAAATCAGGGAGCAACGTGGTGGACGTGGGAGTTGACCTGTCCGAATTCTACATGTCGGTAGAATGGGATATTTTAGAAGTGCCTGCAGTTCGGTAAGTGTCCGTTGCGCGCGTCATTTTATTTAATTCTCAAATATACATATAGAATGCTATATGCAATTCTCTATTTATATTGTTGTAAAAATAAGAATTTTGTTGGATCCATTTATACGCGATATTTTATAAAAATTTTAATGTGAGGATTCGAATTCGAAATTTTATGAATCAAATATACATTCTCGCGATTATGATTTATCTCCTTGTATCAAAATTCAATGTGAGATTTATCATAAAGTTCATCTAGTTCTCTCTGGAGAATCTCAATTTAATCCCCGCGATCCTCAAGTATAACATCAGACTCTCAAAGTCGCGTCTAGGAGAGGCTCCTTTCTCTTTCCTTATGAAATGTTTCTTTACATTCAATATCCTGGCCTGGCATAAGCGAGCAGTTGCTTCCGGGCACAATTCGATTCCCAATATTCGGCGTGCCGCGATGCAAACGGGAATCGGATTCTGCTTCCGGTAGCTGCCGCAGTAGCAAAATGGATGTTTTCACAGACACTTGAGGTGTCCTGCCACTAGATGTTCAAGATATTCCGAAGTATCGATACTTTAACGTTCGAATACTTTCGGCATCGGTATTATATATCTTTCGTATTCCCTAAACACCCCTATTTGTCACGTACCGAATCCTTCAAGCGAGAAATTCTGCAGGTCGAATGAGTAGATAAAGTCAATCACAACGATAGTTCTCGAGAACGAATGTAGTATATAAACAAAATTTTAAGAGCTGGAATTTGCAGTTTGGAACGTTCTTGGAGCGATTTTTTTTTTTAATCATTTGTCCCATTTCTACTTTTGCACAATATTACTTCTAAGAGTGCCGGGCACAAAGTAAAAAACATTCCGATCAAATATTCACTCGTCGGCTTAACAAGAATTTAAGTAACCGAGAGGGTGGTTTATCGAGCATAAAGATTCCTTCCGACGCGTGCATTTGATCGGAACATTTTTTATTTTGTGTCTGGCACTTAGGAGTTTCCTTGTGCAAAAGTAGAAATGGGCCAAATCATTTTTGGTGTAGCTAGAATTCTTTAAATGACCGAGAGGATGGTTTATCGAGCATGAGGGTTCCTTCTGACGCGTGCATTCAATCGGAACATTTTTTATTGTGTCTGGCACTCAGAAGTTACTTCGTGCAAAAGTAGAAACAGGCGAAATCATTTTCGCCGTAGCTAGAATTCTTTAAGTGACCGAGAGGGTGTTTTATCGAGCATAAGGGTGCCTTTCGACGAGTGTATTTGATCGAAATATTTTATTGTGTTTGTGACACTTATGAGTTACTCTGTGCCAAGCTAAAAACGGGACAAATAATTTTTGAAAAATCGCTCCAGGAACGTTTCAAACTTCAACCAGCTTAGAAAAATTAAAAGTACTTGAAAAATAATTATAATTCAAATTTATTCACGACATTATTGGCTCCGATTTGAGACCGTCGGCCTGAATAGAAGGAAAAGACTGAAGGACGTAGGGGAGTGGAGTCTGAACCGAGTTACCGACTTAGAGAGATCTTCGACGAAGTTATACGACCCCCGCGAAACTTTCCTCATAAGTCTCGCTCACCGCCGACCCTACTTACTTAAAACGTACTTATTGTCGGGTACAAACGCTTCGCCGCCGCTCTGAATAGCGGAATTTTTGCGTTCCTTGGATGAATTTTCTTTTTTTCTTCTTTTCTTTTTACTTCATCGCCGTAATCCCGCCGCACTTCCCTCCCCACTTGTTCATCGATCCGGCGATTAACCGCAATGTCTCTTGCGCCTTTTCTTCTCGCAGGAACGAGAAGTTTTACACTTGCTGCGACGAGCCCTACTTGGACATCACGTTCAACATCACGATGAGGAGGAAAACCCTCTTCTACACAGTGAACATTATCATCCCCTGTATGGGGATATCGTTTCTCACGGTTCTCACGTTTTACCTGCCCAGCGACAGCGGTGAAAAGGTAAGCACTCTCTCGCTCTCGTCAGTGCATTTCTTCCGTCGGTAAATATTTTCGTTCGCTATCGCATTTTTCATCAGTTTTTATAAATACCTCGATTTGATTATCTTAATACTAACTCTATATTAAACTAACGATAGCTTTATTAGATGAGGAACGTTTATTTTCAATTTTTCTTTTCTCATTTCATGCTGTCTTCAACGTTTGCTAAAAAAATCTTCATAAAAGCAGAACCGTAAGATTTTCTAATTAACTCATAAAATTAGCTCTTGTTAAATTAGCTCTTCTAATAAAGTCTCAAATGTAAAAATTCGAGAGTCGAAAAGAATTTCTTTTAAAGATTCGATTTTCGTAAAGATGAAAATTTATGCTAATAAGTTGTAGGATTCCTGTCTTCTGATAACATTTTCAGAAATGCATAATACAGCGAATAAACATATCTGTAAGAGAAAGAACAGGAGCGAGAGAGAGCGACAGAGTCGCGATTAATCCCTTTATTCTCGGAAGCGGCCGCGGGGCGTACGTGCGTGAAATATGCGGCGAATTAGTTCTCCTCCGCGTGTCTGTCGGCCTCGTTATTTACTCTTATCTGTAGGTAAGAGCTAGTAGGTGGTTACTTTTGGCTCGACGGCGCCAGCGATTTTTCATTTCCACCCCGGCTTCTCTACCCCCATTCGACTTACCGCCGTCCCGACTCGCGCCCGTTTTCTCTCGCGTCCGAGAATAGATTCTTCTTCACGTTGTCAATGTGTAACGTGCAGCAGAAAGAGGACCACTCCCACACAGCAATGGGTGTTCGAGGACATTCCTAAATACCTTTGCGTATCCCCTTAATATCGGATATCCGTACATCACTCGGATATTTCAGACGATATCACGTGATATTTTTAGGCTCCCTTTAAATTTCCTCAACGTTTCACAGATCTTATTATTCTGTAAACATCCCTTGAATATATTTATCCGTGCAAATATTTTTTGGCGATATCTTTGGATATATTCCTTAAGCATCCACTCAGCATGCACGCTGTGCGTGATCCCACGCACATTTTCTCACCCCTCCTGCGGAGGAATATATATTTATGAAAGGTTTATCCCGCGCGCGTCAGAACGACGCTTACAGCTGACGTTCTTCCCGAAGCGTCCTTTTTCGCGCAAAGTTATCGACGTCGCGGCATAAAAGCCTCCGTACGTTCCCCACACGCTCTTTCCCCGTTAACGTCCCCGGCACGTCGCGACATGCCACAAAGGTTACTCGTTACTCGGTGAACCGGCATTGTAAAATGTTTTTTCTTCCCCCGCCCTCCCCCCCTTCCCCACCCGTTCGGCTTCATTGTTTCTTCCATTGAGCCGACTGCGCGGACTCGCGCTCGAGTCATTTCTCTGTTCCCTCGCTCCTTCTCTCCTTCGTTTTCCTCTCTACCTCGCTGAAAAAGCATAGGCTATTAGTCGTACTTGCGCGCAGTTGAAGAACTATCGACCGCGCGCGCGTACGTGCAATTAGCATCCGTCATTAAGAAGAAACGGGCGGGAGTCAATTGTGTCCCGAAGTACCGAGGGTAATAGGAATGTTTTTACATGACGCAACATGTTTGCCTCCTCTCATTAATTCGCGTTCATTGTCGAGTCTTCATTGACTGACAATGAGGAAAAAAAAAATCAATTTGCCCCGCGGTTTTCTACACGTGACACGCTAGAAACGTTTACTTTTAAATTAATTTTTAAACCAGCAATTAATTTTATTAATCACTAATAATTATTATTTCAATTAATTATCGGAATTATCAAGTGGATTTTCACATTTGTAATATCCGTAATCATATCGTAAATTATATGGCTTTTTTTTTATTTTTTACTTATCGAATATATATATAACTTATTTTAAATGTCCATTCGGAAAATCGCGGGTAGGTAATGAATGTATATTTCGCTCGATATTCGGCGATTTCGATTAAAATACAACGGGGTTTAACGGAGACGCGAGAAAGCGCAGAGTCAATCATTCATTCTATCTTTAACCGTTTATCGATTTTGCTTCTGAGAAGCGGGCAACGCGAGAAGGAAACGCCACTCTATTATGCATCTACTATCGCCATTTTCAAGCAGAAATATGTATAAGCACGGAGACACGTTTTACGTACTTTCGCAATGTCCACAATGACACATTTAGTCATACAATGTAATGTTATAACATATAACTTGCGTTACTTTTACCTCTGTGAACCTATACATGGCATCTTCAGCACTAAAATAAAGTTCGACTGCAGCGATTAATTGCTGAATTAATTTTAGTCTTGAAATGCTATTTTTCCATCATTTGATTAAATCAAACACATGGATATAATTCGCGTAATTTCGGGAGGTACGCTATAATCGTTTAGGAAACCTCATCGCGATGATGTGTACGGTTGTTTCCACGTTGTCGAGCGTCCAATTTCTCGCGGGATCTTCGTGCATGCACCGCACGAGACGTGCTACGAATGCGAGCGACCAACGAGAAAGTGGCGCGAAGAATTTGCGAACGACTTTTCGCGAAAGCGTCTCTCGTTTGGATGGCTGTCGAGTTGAGACCTGCTATCAACATTTGCAGTCCCGGGGATCTTCCGTCGTGTCGGAAAAATGCTATGAAGTTGTACACAGTTTCAAGAGTCACCGTGTGCCTTCAAGGTGTACTGGACACCTGACTAAAAAATGCAATGCTTGTTCGTATATCTCGTTGTAGTTACTGCTATCAATAGTATCGAATATCGAAATAAAATTCGTTTTGCTCGAATGGAATTTCGATCAAAAGGATATAAATAAGCAATAAAGTTCTCTTTTCCTTATTTACATATATTGAATGAAGCACAATTCGCTTTTCTGTAATTTGTAATTTGAGTATGCGTTTTTATTTTAATAGAAATCCATTTTCGAAACATTCAGATATTTAATTTAACAGTAAATAAAATTATGACGAATAATTAGATCTTCCGTGGAAACGTTAAGAAAAAATTGATCCCAATCTATAAATATGATATATCTATAAAAATTCTGTAATTATGTTTTGAAACGTCTTTTGATGCACTAAAATAGATTGTGGAGAACAGATGCCACTGTACGAGAATCTTTTTGAAATATTAAAGGCCACCCTTATTACAGTAGTTACACACACACACACACACACACACACACACACACACACACACACACACACACACACACACACACACACACACACACACACACACACACACACACACACACACACACACACACACACTTGAGAAGCTCCGCGGCCTAAAACCTCGAACGATGTAAGCCAGCTTTACACTTAGAGTTTTCTTGCGAGTTTGCGAGCGTCATGTTGTCCTTAATAATAGTTTGCTCTTGTTGCACAACAGTGAAATATTTTGTGGCAAGCACAACTGGCGCGTCTCTTAGTTTAACATCAACGAATGCATTATTCTGCAAAGTTTACGTTGTTAGAAAGCTATAAATGAAGAGAAGCGCGAGAGACTCCAAATATTTCGTTGCACTCGCACAAAAAAAAACGAAGGGATTTTTTTCTGCGATATTTATGTTGGGCGGAAGATGGAAAGTGTGGCTGGGGGAGGGGGGAGGAGAATAAATGCGGTCGCAGATTTTCGAAAAAATAAAGCCGCGAGCGTCTGTTGCAGCTTCTAGGCATGTCAATCAAGCAGAGGGAATCGATAAGCAATATCGCGGTTCGGTGATTGACCCGCAGCCACGCTGCGTTTACCGAAATTGCATACCGCATGCATTCCCCGCTTCACCTTTTATGACATGCCTCATGACTGTACATCGCACCGATTTTGTTCCAGCAGTTTTTACCGTCATTTTTAGATTTATTCGGTTGAGCACCTCGCGTTTATAAAAGTACTTAATGAAAAAAATTTAGTTTACCAACGTTATACCTCATAAATCCATAGAAAAGAAATTTTGAAACTTTGTGACCTGGCAAGATAACTGGGCCATGTTACAAAAGAGGCAACTGATCCGAAAAACAATACCCATATAGTTAAGTATGTGACGTAGATAGAAAATATTATGTAGTTGATGTTTTACTTAGAATTATTATTTTTGAGTTTGTTAATTACGAAAAGTCTTCATGGTGCTGTCAAAATGTTTCTGTAAATTTTGTTAGTTTTCGCTTATGACTGTTTTACATACAAACGCTCGATTATGCCGTGATGTAATTGCGACGGGAGATAGTTTATCAAGAAGTCTCGTGCGGACGATTCACCTACCCGCGGATCGATACGCGTAATCTGGGTTGGCCGCATGAAGATGTTACTCGTAGGTTATTATCATTTGACTGATGCGATGCGCAGCGGATGTAACGGGTGGGGAAAATGGATGACGGATACCGCGGGATATTATTATGTCATATGTCAGAGGGAGGGAGAGAGAAAGAGGGAGAAAGCGGAGAGAGGAACGTACAACATAATCATATTTGCCTTATAACATTCCGCCGTGCACCCCCCCATACAGCCATTGAACGTGATTCGACGGTTTGCCCTCACAGGCGAGCCAATTTCGCTGCGGACCGACACTCCACCCACGTTAATTACGCAAACAACCACCCGAGAACAAGTAAGCCCAAAAGTAATCAGGCGAAAGTAAGCCAGGCGTCTTCTATTTGGAGTCGCGAGAGAGAGAGAGAGAGAGAGAGAGAGAGAGAGAGAAGTTACGCTTTTTCTTCAAGCTAAACGTTTAAATTTCTAACTTCCGCTTGCACACGTGGCTTATGAGACCTGCATAACGGGTAAATGGGAATCCAGAATTACTTTAGATAATGAGGTCGCTTTATTTGAGAGAAGGTGCTTTATTTCAAAATTGTCAACGTGGATTTTCTCGCTGATTACAAATAATGCGTTTATCCTTTAATTTCATCGCGTTAGCGTTGAAACGATAATCATCGGGGTAATTAAAAAATTTCCGAATAATATTCGCTTTACTGAATTTCATTTTCCCAACGTGAACGGTATCGCTTTACCGAGACGTATCTCTGATCATCGACGGTACATGCAGACGAGAGGTGTCCCTACACCTTCCGGTATCACACGCTCATATTATACAAGAGCAAGCTGATCGAACACGACATATCGCGTTAACCGTGCGTCAACATACATAACATACGCGGATCTTGCCTAACTGCCATAGCGGACAGACCGTGCTGTGACAAGACACGAGCTACAAGACAGTATTAGTTCACATCTCTATTAAGCGGCTTAAAACAACAGGCTTATGGCTCATCTAAATTATTCCTTTAACAGACTGCGCTACAATTACCGAATGTTCTAGGCGTTCTGTGATTTTACCTGTATATGAATTTATTTAAAGGACTAGTAACAGGTTTTTGAAACTTCGGATGCAAGTTAGAACCATGAATGACAATAAAATAAGAATAAGAATAAAATAAGAATCTCTTATAAGCAATATAAAATTCTCAATATAAAACTGACGAAAAGTAAATCGGACGAGATATTTTGGAACAGAGGATTTGGGACGAAGTTACTCATTCTCGCAGCATATACAGTAATTATTGGATCATGCGAAAATTGATTCGGAAGCGTTTGCTCAAACATTTGGTTAAATACAGCGGCAAGATATACGCGTGCGATTGCCAGGGGGAAGAGTGGGCGACAATAATTAAAGGCGCGGTCGGATGGAAAGTAACCGGGTGCACTATCGATCCGAATGCATCGATGAAAGCCGCCAGGGCAAACGACAGGGCAGCAGCCCGATAGACGCTATCGCGCTCCGGTGGTCGATCCTTTAAATTAATCGCTATGAAACGCCATTGCAACGGTGAAACCGCAGTAAAAATGAAGCTTGCGCTCTTACCTCTCCTTGCTCGCTCGCTCGCTCGCTCGCGTAGCGTTCAATTCGCAATAAGAGCCACCGAGCTCCCCGGTACCCCGATAAGAGCCCCGCCGTCGATGATCGCGTGTTATACATTCGTTGCCGCTGGAAAACGTAAACTGGTTTTTATTACTGAGCTAGTGCGGAAGTGCAAATTCCGATGTGATCCGACGGAAAATGCGCTAAAAAGAAACAACTCGTTTTATAGCCGTCATAATCAAAATTGCCATCTGCCGTGATCAATGATTAGAAATGTTTTTACAATTGTATGTCAATTACAGTGGTATATTACGGCATAATTATTGATTTGAAATTAAGAATTAACATGAAAGCTTGTTAAGAAGAAATATATACGAGCGAATTTCTTTATATATATATATATATATATATATATATATATATGATTCTTACAGCAAAGTTGACAAGTGAGAAATGTGTGCCAGAAATAACTGTAAATTATTATGCATAATAGAAAATAAACGTAATTATTATACGGATCAGATAGATGTCATGTATGTGCTTCAAATTTCGGTAAAAGATAAAAATTAAATAAATGAAGGACGTCAATTTATATATTATGAAATAAAAATAGACATAATGAATTGAAAATCGCAAATGCTGATCAAAAGTAATACATCAGTTTGTAAAGAGAAATATAAACACTGGCCATTGACGCAGCCTTGATGGACGATATCGTGTAACGACGAACCGTAAATTAATCGTCATGAAACGCCGCAAAGCGCTATTGAAAAGCCATGCGGCTGTCGCATCCAATTAAAAAAGGAAATATAGACCGGTAACCAGGTGCTATACGTTCGCAAATACCTTTCGCCGGAAACTATTTATCGGGAATTATCTCACGGGATTTTGTACACAAAACGATCCTATAATAGATAGTATTGACAGATAAACGATCTCCAGTTTCGCGGGACAGAACATATGATATTATATCAATTTTCATTCTAAAAACTCCCCCTCCCCCGTCCCTCGCAAACAATATCGATACTATAGAGACAATAACTTTAATTAAACTCGTAACTGAGCCAAGTTCAAAGTCGTAATTTTTACATTCGAATTCAAATTTAAAAAAAAAATATATATATATAACACTAAATTTTTCACAAATCGTGATATATACGCGAATATTTTCCAGATATTAAACGGAATCAGAAGATCGATCATGCGAAATGTCAGCACATTTTTGCATTTATTTTACTTTTCATCGTCTGAAATCTCACATGGATTTTATTCAATCAAATTTTATTCTGGAAAAAAAATTACGTGATCAGTTACGGTTTCAGCAAATTCGCGTAAAAAATCTCACTTTTCACTTTTTTTTCGAGAGGAATATAACATAACACACGGTCGATCCCCGGATTTGCTACAAACGTAGTTGAATTCAAATCTTTTGGAGCGAGATTTTTCAATTTCTTTTAAATTCGCAATAAATTTGTACTAACAACATTATAGTATTGAGAAATCAGGGATATTTGTACGTACATCTAATCGCTTTAGAATAACTATATATATGTATATTATATTGTAACTAATAATATCCAATAATACTTTAAGACATTAGAAAAATGTAGCATGTAAAAATTTTGAATTGAAATTTTCTTCTATTAATTTTTTTGTATTAAAATTTTAATAAGTTTTACAATGGGCATTTATTATCTAAATAGGAAATTCTTTTATTTCTCTTTTTTATTACTGTGCTTTCTTTAAAAATTCGTTTCATATCAGAAAAATTACTGCAGTTCGGGAAGTGCATGTCTGACTTTCCAACTTCATACAAGTTGCACTTCAACCTATATAATGTCTGACATAAAAGAGTATAATAAAACCCGGAGACGGGGAGACTATTCCACGCAAGACCTTTTCCCTCCTTCTTTTTTGAAGTAATCGTTAACCCAGTTAACTTCCGCTTTTGCAATGTGCCTCTGATAAAAATCCCTTACCAAAAATTTTTGATGTTTCCCGTTTAAGAGGATCCTAAATCCTAGATCAAACTCCAAAAATCCGCTGTTTTACCGACAATTTGTGAGTATGTATGCGTGCGATATTGATGTAGTAGTGTGTAGTGATGTGTCATGTTTATTACCACATCAATATATCTCACGCA